GCCTTCACATAGAAAGGCTTAAAGGATAGCACTCTCGGCTGTCTAGGTTGACTGATCAAAACCACGTCAAGGAATTGTGACAAAATACCATTCCACGCAAGATTAATGGTCTGCCAAATTCCGGTGTGGCTGTTGTAGGCGGGGTGTGGTCGCGTTGGCGCGGTCATGGTTGTGGCAAGGTTGTTGCAGGGAGTTTTCGTGGTGGTTGTTGTGGTGGTTGGTTCTTGCGTGTTTTGTTGCGCGGTGGTGGTTGTGGTTGTGGTTGTGGTCGCGCTTGCGGTTGCGGTTGCGGTTGCGGCTGTTGTTGTTGTTGTTGTTGTCGTTGTTGTTGTTGCGGCGGCGGTGGTGTTTGTTTTGTCGCGCGCGTGTTGCGGTGGTTGCGGTGGTGGTGGTGGTGGTGGTGGTGGTGGTGATTGTAGCTGCCATTGTAGGAAGAGTTGTTGTTGCGGCGGTGGTTGTTGGGAGAGGGGGAAGACTGGCCTGATTTAAGGGGCCGATGCCCAACAGCAGGCCAGCAGCCAAAGAAGCACAGCAGCTAGAGATGACTGCATCAGTGTTCAGTACAGCCCCCCCGAACCACAAAATGACACTTCATAAATAATGTTGTGGTAAGACGAAAGAAGAGCCATCTGCCTCATCAGACCGGCAGAAACGCGAGCTCGCGCCCATAAGGCGCACGGCGCAGAGAATTGTGAGCGCCTCTCAGGTGAATGATCCCGCTCTATAGCGGGTGGAATTGTTAAGTTTCGCGACTATCCAGAAGTCGCCACGATTTTCTACCGAGCTTTGTGGCTTTTTAGCAGCAACAAGCTTGCTGACAAGGCAACTTGTAAGGCGCGTTGCCGAGATGAGGTTCATGGTGTCGCTGAGCAAGACCCTGTCTTTTCACCTACGACGCGACGTTGGTGCCACGGAAATCCGTTCGTTGCTGGCCCCGTTGCCCACAACAAGATCAATAAGATCAGATACCAACGTCCGGAGATCTTCGGCAAACTACCGGCCAGCAGGAAGGATGGGCCACACTGGCACGCTGCTAAGCTCATCATCGGCCTTTGCGTTTTCGATGATATATCCAAGTGGAGCTTCGCTTTTTTTCCATCCGCTGCCTACGGACTGGACGACGTTGGGCGGCGAGACAAAGGGATAATGGGTCTACGGAGGACCCCCAATTGCCAGGGTTGCAACCTTTCTGATCAGGCGAATCAAGGGCACGGAGGTCTGGGACACGCTTGAGGACGACTATTGTGTCCATGCCACATTCTACCGGGCATCCCTCAGAATTCGCGATAACGGACAACGGTAACACCCTCATGAGAGCAGAAGGCATCATGCGCATTTAGAAACCATGCTCATACTATAGTCTAGCGTGGCGAGAAAACCACATCTTGCAAGACAAGGAGCCGATGTCCTCATCTTTTTCAAGATCGAAGACCTGCGCCGCATGGCTAATGTCCGTGGGCTCCGTTTTCGATCCTACGGCGTCGTCCAACATGCGGTCAACTTCAGGCCTAAATATAACATAAGAGTTTTCAACTTCGGAGATCTTGGCCGCTCTGGCGGAATGGGCAGATATAAACTGCCAAAGAATTGCGATGAATCTACCGAACTATCGGTGTTCCCAGGCCGTATTTTCCGCAACCCTTAGCATATCCAGGCTTGACGCTGGGGCCGTATCTCGAAGAGGCCAAGAAAGGGAAAACACGCGGGGTTGTCGCGCATTCTCAAACAGGAGCTCCCGCTCCCATAGCGGTGCTTGCCAGAGGCGACGATACAACCTTTTTTGAAGCGGTGCACCATTTTCAGGCCAGTCACAAGAAACCCAGTGCACGTGGAGAGCCACCTCGGTGGTTGTCACAGGCAATTCTTGTTCGGATCTTTTTCGGCAAGCTTGACTCGAAACAGGTCGTCGACAAAGCCTTTCATCCTGTTAGAACGGATGTCATGGCCAGCGGAAAAGGGCGGACACCAGCAGTGACAGACCTGCGAGACAAATGAATAGAAATGCTACGTGGCCAGTGGAAAAGGGCGGGCGCCAGCAGTGACAGACCAGGGAGACAAATGAATAGAAATGCCTGACAAACATGGGAGACAAATGAATAGACATGCTACATGGCCAGCGGAAAAGGGCGGACACCACATGACCAGCGGAAAAGGGCGGACAGACCTGGGAGACAAATGAATAGAAATGCTACATGGCCAGCGGAAAAGCAGTGACAGACCTGGGAGACAAATGAACAGAAATGCGACATGGCCACAGAGGAAAAGGGCGGACACCAGCAGTGACAGACCTGGGAGACAAATGAATCGA